TGTTATCTGATATTTGTTTTGAAATGGTATAGAATTACCATGTTTATGATTTTATGGAATTTATAACACGGTGCAATTGAATTTTTGGAATATGAATTTATAAAGTACAGCTCTGATCAAGCTGGAAAATTTTACGGACCTAATGTGACTCTTAGGTAGGCTCTGCGGCCCTGAGATCATTCTCGGGTAGGCCCTGTGGCCCTAAGATGTGTTCTTAGGTAGGCCCCACGGCCCCGAAATCTATCTTGGGTAGGCTCTTAGGCCCTAAGATATTCCCTTAGGGTAACATTTTTTTTAAAGAGATTTACTGCAGTATAATTTTATGAGACTTATTGGACTATGATTTGTTTAGTGTACCTATAGTGATTTTATGGTAATATTGGGACACACTGAGCCTAGCTCACTTTTCGAAAATATATATTTTTCCCCTTTCAGATACTGTTGGTTAGATACCCTGGATTGAGCACTTGGAGGATCAACATATCTCTTGAAGTATATCTGATTGAAATGTTTTTACCTTGCAAGTTGACTTTATTTTGTTGACATGGACCTTATTTTAAAGTATGGTATTTTAATATGATGACACTTTTGCTATTACTATTCGGTTTATCGTGATTTGATTTTTAAGATATGTTTTAAATTAATTTATTACCTATTGGTATTATATTTACAAGTTGGGTTTTGATAGTATGATTTATTATAATTTCATGTCATTTATAATGTGATTTTACATTGATTTAATAACGGTTTCGGAAAATATCTTTAATAATCATAATGTGATCCACTAGACTTAGTCGAAACGCATAGGTTGGGTCTAGGGGGTTACATTTATTGGTATCAGAGCTTTTGGTTTTTAAACCTCGGACTGTGTATGAGTCGACATTGAAAATACGATTTTGAAATATTTACAAAACGAGTTACTAAGGCCATGTCACAAAGTTATTAAGATTTTAACTGTGTTCGAGACTCCAAGTGTTTATCTAACCATAAGTTCTATCTTCTGTAGTAGACTTGAGATCCACCAAAAATGAGTGCTAGACGTGGTCGTCGAACTAGCCGTGGACGAGGTTGAGTGGCTAGATTTGCAGATCCCGATCGATGAGATACGAGCAGATCCCTCACCTCCGTTAGGTGATCATGCTCCTACGACCCCAACGAATATGCCTTCTGCCACAGGTATTGGCATGACTACACCGATCATAGGAGCGACTAATATTGAGTCATCAGCAAGTCCGGGAAGAGGACTCGTACTTTGGCCCTCGGAGAAGCAATACACGTTTTAGGCCTGCAGCATCCTCACCGTTAATTGGCAGTCGAGACGGTTCCTCGTCGTATTATCATGGACTCCTTTGTGAGTATTGTGGTAAACAGCACACAGGAGAGTGTCGTAAGAAAATGGGTCTTTGATATCAGTGTGGATCTAGTGGTCATTATCGGAGGGATTGTCCTCAGCTAACTTTGTTTGAGCATATCGCTACCCAGACTCCTGTGTGTTCTCAGACTACAGTATAGACTCCAATTAGAGATCGTAGTCAAGGAAAGACTCGAGAATCAGCGTCCAGGATAGAAAGTAGAGCCCGACCTCATCAAAATAGAGTTCGAGATTGAGACTTATCCGGGATCTTCACCTATTTCTATGGCACCTTATCGTATGGCTCCAAAGGAACTTAAGGAGTTGAAAGTCCAATTGCAAGAATTATTCGATCGATGATTTATCCGACATAGTACTTCACCATGGGGAGCTCTAGTTCTGTTCGTAAAAAAAAAAGAAGGATGGGTTGCTAAGATTATGTATTGACTATCGGAAATTGAACAAGATGACAGTCAAGAATAAATACCCACTACCCAGGATTGATGACTTATTTGATCAATTGCGAGGAGCTACTGTATTCTCTAAGATTGATCTTCGTTCGGGGTATTATCAATTGAAAGTCAAAGGATCTGATGTTGCAAAAACGGCCATTCGCACTAGATACGGTCATTATGAATTCTTAGTGATGCTTTTTGGTTTGACGAATGCTCCTGCAGCTTTCATGGATTTGATGAATCGGGTGTTCCGACCATATTTGGATCAATTTGTGGTGGTCTTCATTGACGATATTTTGATTTATTCTTGTACTGAGGCAGAGCATGACGAGCATTTGAAGATCGTTCTGCGGACTTTGAGAGAACATCGTCTGTATGCCAAACTAAGCAAGTGTGAGTTTTGGCTTCAAGAAGTGTCGTTTCTGGGGCATATTATTTCTGCGCGAGGTGTTCAGGTCGACCCCAGCAAAATCGAAGCTATTGTGGATTGGAAACGACCCAAGAACATCTCTGAGATCCGCAGTTTCTTGGGCTTGGCTGGTTATTATCGACGTTTTGTTGAGGGCTTCTCGATCATTGCTTCTCCTTTGACAAAGTTGTTAAGGAAGAATGTGTCGTTTGACTGGGGCGAGGCACAACAGGAGAGCTTTGAGAAATTAAAGGGGGTTTTGACTCAAGCACCAGTGTTGATTCAACCAGAGTCCGGGAAGGATTTTACAGTGTATAGTGATACTTTACACTCAGGACTTGGATGTGTTCTAATGCAGGAAGGTAAAGTGGTGGCTTATGCATCCCGTCAGCTGCGACCTCATGAGTGTAATTATCCTACTCACGATTTGGAGTTGGCAGCAATAATTTTTGTCTTGAAGATTTGGAGACACTATCTTTATGGAGAGAAGTGTTATATTTTCACGGATCATAAGAGCTTAAAGTATCTTCTGACCCAGAAGGAGCTTAATTTGAGACAGCGTCGCTGGCTAGAGCTTCTAAAGGATTATGATTGCGTGATTGATTATCACCCTGGTAAAGCTAACATTGTAGCGGATGCTTTGAGTCGAAAGGCGGTATCGGAGTTGAGATCTTTAATGGCCAGGATGAATTTATATGACGATGGCACTTTGTTAGCAGAATTGCAAGTTAAGCCGACCTTGGTTGATGAGATTAAAGTTAAGCAGCCCCTTGATAGCTCCTTGCTTCCTATCTTTGAGCAAGTAGAGCAGAGGACAAACTCAGATTACGCCCTTAATCAGGATGAAGTTTTATGCTTCAAAGGTCGGTATTGTGTGCCGGATGATGCTGAGTTGAGGCAGACTATTCTTGCTGAGGCTCATAGTAGTCCATATGCTATGCACCCCGGTGGAGATAAGATGTATCGAAATTTGAGAGAGTGGTATCATTGGGTCGGCATGAAAAAGGACATCTCGAATTTTGTGGCGAGGTGTTTGACTTGTCAGCAAGTTAAGGCAGAACATCAACATCCATCAGGTTTGTTACAGCCTATCAAGATTCCTGAATGGAAATGGGAGCGTATTACTATGGATTTTGTTACCGGTTTACCTATGACTCATTCGAAAAAAGATTCAGTTTGGGTAATTGTTGACAGACTTACAAAGTCAGCTCACTTCATTCATGTGCGGGTAAATTATACTTTGGACAAGCTGGCGAGATTGTATATTTCAGAGATTGTCCGATTGCATGGTGTTCCATTGTCTATTATTTCTGATCGAGATCCGAGATTTACTTCGAGATTTTGGAAGGCGCTACATACGGCTTTGGGAATAAGATTGGATTATAGCACATCCTTTCATCCACAAACTGATGGTCAATCTGAGAGAGTGATTCAGATTCTGGAGGATATGCTGCGGGGTTGCGTAATTGATTTTCATGGTAGCTGGGAGAACTTTTTGCCTTTGGCTGAATTTGCTTACAACAACAGTTATCAGACCAGCATTCATATGGCACCTTATGAAGCACTCTATGGGCGTAAATGTCGCACTCTGATATGTTGGACTGAGTTGCGTGATAGGAAGACGTTGGGACCTGAGTTAGTGCGAGAGACGGAGGACACAGTCAGATTGATTCGTGACCGTCTGAAAGAGGCATTTGATAGGCAGAAGTCTTATGCAGATCAAAGAAGGAAAGATATACAGTTTGAGGCTGGAGATCAGGTCTTTTTAAAAGTTTCACCCTGGAAGAAAGTATTGAGATTCGGGCGTAAGGGTAAATTAAGTCCAAGATTTATTGGACCATTTCGTATCTTGAAGAAGGTAGGACCTGTTGCATACCAGCTTGAGTTGCCCTCTGAGCTCAGTCGTATTCATGATGTCTTTCATGTATCAATTTTGAGGCGATACCGTCCAGATCCAAATCACATCATTCAAGTTGAGAATGTAGAGCTGAGACCTGATTTGTCATATGAGGAGGAACCCATCCATATCTTAGAAAGAGATGAGCGAGTTCTTCGGAATAGGCGTATTCCAATGGTCAAAGTTAAATGGAGTAATCGAGGCCCCTCAGGAGCTACTTGGGAGATATTGGAGTCAATGGAGGCTCAGTTTCCTCAACTATTCTCATAAGGTAAATTTTGAGGACGAAATTTCTTGTAGAGGGGGAGAATTGTAACAACCCGGAAAAATTAGAATATTATTAAATTGAAGTTAGAGGCTTTAATTGTGAAAATTGGTAAACTGTGAGGACTAAATTAAAAGATTTTAAAACTTTGAGCTTGTTTTAGAGTTCAAGAAAATTCAGGGACCAAGCCCTGAATTTACCCAATAAAATTAGGTAAGGATGGTATTATATGTTGTATCGTGGTTTTCTGTTTGAAACAGAAAACCACGCCCAAATCCTCTCCCGAACGCCCAACTTCAAACCTCGATTCCGACGCCGTCCGAATTCCGATTGTCGTTTTGAAACCACCGTGGTGTTCATCATCGAGCGAGGAACAAACCCTTCAATTTAATTGAAGCGAAACCCTGCCAAACGTCGGGAATTTCAAGTCAAAGCATCGACGTTTTTTTTAGCTCTATCGCCGGGAAAAACTTAAATTCACCGCCGATCGTTGTTCCGTTTACGACACCTCCTGCACCATCGTGTTCCTTGTGTCGTTGCGAGTCCGCCAGTGTCAACCTTATTCGCCGTCGACGGCGGCGCGTGAGGAGGTGGAGCAGTCAAAGATTCGGCCGAGTTGAAATACGAGCTCTCCGCCGTTCAAAAATTTGAACCGATCGTTGTAAGTATCTCGAAATCGCTCAAAATAATTTTTAGAAATTTTTCCGGGAATTTTCCGACACCGTGGAACTGTTCACGCGCCGCACGCGCCACCGTAGGGAGAGTGAGCTGCTGGAAAACCGGTTTGACCAGTTTTGAACCGGTTTGACCGGTCTGAACCGGGTTGACCCGACCCGACTGACCCGACCCGACCCGACTGTTGACCCGACCCGACCCGACTGTTGACCCAACCTGACCGTTGACCGTTGACTTTCTTTGACCAAAACTTAAAATGGCTTTGACTGAGCATTAAACGACCGTTAATCTTTTTCGAGTATACCTATCCTGATAGTTTTCGACGTGCCGAATCCGTTTCCGCTGTCCGTTTCATCAAATTCGAATCCGAAGGCCTCCAAATCGACGATCAAAGTGGTTGACTTTGACTTTGACCAAGAATTTGGATTTTCGAAAAGTCATACTTTATATTTTTCGATGTCCTGATTCCGATTCCGTAATCCGTTTGGCCAAATTCAGACTCGAAATACCCCAAATTGATAGTCAAACTCGGAAAATGCTTAGATACTTAAGAATTTTAGCTTTGAACAATTAAGTAAGATTTGGGGCTGATAAATTATTGTTATTTGAAGGTGCACGAGACTCATCGGATCGTTCAACAGCTCGATCCAGCTCTTCTAGATCAGTTAAACCACGTATGCCAGTATTCACCCGTAAGACCCGTAAATTTTATGATTTTAGAGATTTATTTATGTTACCCATAAGTAATATAGTGTTACTATAAATTAGGTTCGAAAACTGTAGCAGAGCGTGGTGAAACCAGCAATCAGTAGATCTACGATTTGAACCTATTATCGAGGTGTGTTCCCTATTTATTATTGAACTGTTTTATTTGTTTTAATATGTGGTACACTGAATTCTTTGGTTACCGTATTGTTGATGCACCGATTTAATGTGATGATTTATGGATTATGACTGTTATCTGATATTTGTTTTGAAATGGTATAGAATTACCATGTTTATGATTTTATGGAATTTATAACACGGTGCAATTGAATTTTTGGAATATGAATTTATAAAGTACAACTCTGATCAAGCTGGAAAATTTTACGGACCTAATGTGACTCTTAGGTAGGCTCTGCGGCCCTGAGATCATTCTCGGGTAGGCCCTGTGGCCCTAAGATGTGTTCTTAGGTAGGCCCCACGGCCCCGAAATCTATCTTGGGTAAGCTCTCAGGCCCTAAGATGTTCCCTTAGGGTAACGTTTTTTTTAAAGAGATTTACTGCAGTATAATTTTATGAGACTTATTGGACTATGATTTGTTTAGTGTACCTATAGTGATTTTATGGTAATATTGGGACACACTGAGCCTAGCTCACTTTTCGAAAATATTTTTCCCCTTTCAGATACTGTTGGTTAGATACCCTGGATTGAGCACTTGGAGGATCAACATATCTCTTGAAGTATATCTGATTGAAATGTTTTTACCTTGCAAGTTGACTTTATTTTGTTGACATGGACCTTATTTTAAAGTATGGTATTTTAATATGATGACACTTTTGCTATTACTATTCGGTTTATCGTGATTTGATTTTTAAGATATGTTTTAAATTAATTTATTACCTATTGGTATTATATTTACAAGTTGGGTTTTGATAGTATGATTTATTATAATTTCATGTCATTTATAATGTGATTTTACATTGATTTAATAACGGTTTCGGAAAATGTCTTTAATAATCATAATGTGATCTACTAGACTTAGTCGAAACACATAGGTTGGGTCTAGGGGGTTACATCACACACCTACTTTCTTTTTAAAAAAATATTCATGATTTTTTATAAAAAATAATAAAAATAAAATTAACAACACTTTAAAATAATATTGATACCCCCTCACCTTCATTGTTTGCCTCTACGCAGTTAAAAAATATTTATAGAGCAGTTTTTTTATATATAATATCATAATTTATTTATTTTTACTCCTCCCCTATATAAATTATCCACAATATAAGACATATAAACTACTTTTACATGATCATGTCATGCAATAATTATCAAAAACACAAAAGAAACTCAGATAACATAAGTAAAATAGATATAACAAATTTCTAATTAAAAAAAATCATAATCATAGCATCCTCTTAAAAGTCCTATAAGTAAAGGAAGCTAACTTCTCTTTACTTTTCAATGGTAAATTTAACGTTGAAAAACAAACGCAAGATTTATGGCGAAAAAACAGTGACTCCTACGCTCATCCCGAGCTATTTGCTCAATCCAAACCTCTTAATTATTTGAAAAGAAATGAAATAATACAGAGTGAAAAGGATGTGATCAAAGCACATGGTAGGTGGATAAGGAGAAAAATCGGTAGTCAATCATACTAGAAATAGATATCATATTAATTAAAGAAAATAAAATGGAGATACAGTTATTAAGCTCAAGTAAACGCTAATCGTCGCTTAATTTGTTTGGAATGAACGAAAATGCTCGTTGAAATTAGGAAACATATCCGCTTCACCATCAAACCATGAATCTTTTGAATCATACGAGAAAAGAAATTATATCTAACAAATGATTTCCCGCTTAGTTTGGTTTAAATTCATCCAAAAGGAAAAAAAAGATTCTAAAACCTCCACCGCTTTAGTGAAACAGGAAATTAGAACATGCGATCCATACATAATCGCTCCTTTTTGTAATTTGAAAAGCAAATTAAACAACAATCCAATAATGCTTGCATGTTTCAAATTAATACGATTGATTTGAAGCGATGAAAGAACAAAAATATACCAGATCGACGGACTCGTTTTTGATCTCTTCGAGGCTTATGCCGCCCGGCATCTTCCAACCTTAGTCGTGTGGTGATTAGCCGGAAAAGGAACTTGCAGCTACTGGAACATGTATACAGAAAAATCAAATACAAAAAAGGAACCACGAGAGATGCTTAAATACTCATTTACTCTGAGCACGGAAAAGAAGCGGGCTGATTACCAATGTTAAGATGCTGCACTAACAAAGGAAGAGTTGGAAGAAAATGACGGTAGTATGAGAAACCGAGGCGTTTTCCTTTTCTTTTTGCTTTTTTTCCTGGCTATGGGTTTGGAATTTTCAACGTAAATGAATGGAGTCTCAGTTCCAGCGTTTAGGTGTTTATATATACGTGAAAAGGCGGAGGAAGGAGCCCCTAATCGCTGCCCTCCATTTGTAGTACCAAAAAGTGCGGCCACCATGGGACCCGCTTAACATGTTCCATCTTGGTAATTTTCATCCACCTTGCAACTTTTTTATTTTATTTTATAAATACACCATGCAACCTAAATAGTAAAATGAGTATTATTTTCTTGAAATTTTTTGAATAATAGGGTATGTGTTATTTAAGAGACTAAAAAATATTAAATATTTATTATCTTATATAAATAATGTTAAAATTAGCTATGAAGGTTTACCAAAATAGTTATTTTGGCACAATTTTTTAAAAAAAATATAGCCTAAATTAAAACGGTAAGAGTCAAAATGCCCACAAAAAAATAAGAATAAAAATAAAAATTTTGTTAAATGTTAAAAAACCTTTGTTCTAAAAAGGAAACGTTTAAACTAAAATGTTCCAAAAAAATATAATAAAAATAATCATTTTAATAAACATTGAATACTAATTTGATATTTCGTCTATTTTGTAATATCGTAAACTATTAAAAACATAATAAAATTAAATTCAATTAATAGATGATTTTATATTGGTGAGCAAATGTAATCATGGGTATAGGATTCAAAGGACAAAAAGGTAAAATCATACTAAGTGGAAAACGGAATCACTGTGGGAATAGGGAAAGCCTTTTCTAGAAGGTATTGTATTAGTTAAGTTATTAAATAGTGAATTATTATGTATTTAAGTGAGATTTTTATATTCAATAATCATAAAAATCTATGACTATGTTTTGTAGTTGATTCGAGCTGAATCTTGTATAGAAGATTAAATTTTCTTAATGATATTTTTATTTTTTAAAATTTAATTTTAAAAATATTAAACTTGTTATAATTCGATCCATTAAACTATAAAGAAATTTTGTAAAAGGTGCAACTGCAAGGACAATGATGGTATAGTTGAGGTAGGGGTGTGAACGAGTCGAGTTTGAGTATTGTTGAACTCGACTCGACTTGAAAACTCTGAAATGGAGTTCGAATCGACTCGAAAACTCACGAGCTTAAAATTTTCAAGCTCGACTCGAACTCGAAATCCTGAACTGAAGCTCGTGAGCAGCTCGAAATAAAAAAAAAATCTTAAACTTAACTCGATTGAAGCCTCTAACTCAAACTCGAACATAAACGTTAAATAGATCAAATCTTACTGTATTTTTAAAAAAAATCAATACATAAATATTAATATTATTAATAATTTATTTTTTAAAAAATAAAATATTAATATATTATATTTTCGAGCTGCTCACGAGCTTTTCGAGTTGAATATCGAGTAGTTTGTTTCGGCTTGTTAAGAACTTGAGTCGAGCTCGAGTCGAGTCCATTCGATCCGAGTATTTATTGAACATTGATCGAGTCGATCTCGAATAGCTCACGATCCGTCTCGTCCCATTTACTGCGCTAAGTTGAGGCATGGATGGAAATAAGATATATTTGTTTCTTCATCGAATATTTCTATCAATCAAACTTTGGAGAAGATCATGTACTCAAAAAGAGATTTGAACTTTTGTCTCTTCCCATCATAATCGTTTAGTAGTGATTGATTCTTCATTTATTTTTCTCTGTAATAAAATAATTTTATTTAATTTATACCGAAAACTTTAAAAATTTATTATAAAAAAATAAAGTTTTTATTGTAGGAGTAACGTAACAAGGAAGATAGCAAACTCAAATTTATTGTAGGAGATGGCTACGCACATGCGTGTATGTGGAAATATTCAGGTAATGTGATGTTCAATCTAATAATTGTTTAATATAAAGCTGATTAATAGATTAAGTAGTAATGAATATAAAAAAATATTTAATATTTAATTAATCAATAAATTAAATAATTATAATTATATAAAAATAAAATAACTGATTGGCACATATCTTCCACTCAACAGGACACTTTTTGTCATTCTAACGCCAGAAAATGGTCCAAGATTTTGTTCCACCAACTTGTTTAAGTATTCTATGGAACCGATTTGAGCTACTGAAGGAAAGAAATTGATTATACCAGCAATTTTATTGTGATGCAAATGGGGAGGTAGAGAATATAAATACGGCAGGGAGGAATGGTTTCTGAAAATGTGGCAACATTCAGCCTCCAAATATATTATCGCCACTGCTTTTTCCACATGGATAAGTTGCAAAACAGAATTATCCATACCTTGTTGACTCAATTCGAAAATAATGGAGACCGTATGGCTGTGAATGCCATATTTTTTTTTAAAAAAAATTATACCAATAGAAAATAGAGAGGGGCTTTAATTTTGTTTAAAAAAGAAAATTGTTAACTACACGGATGATCACATGTTAATATTTTATTCACTTTTGACCACTGGTTTTATAAAAAAAATATATTAGATATTACCACTTTCATTTTTCCTTAATTAAGTTGTGGTCATCACGGGTTAATTCCGATTAACAATTAATAGAATATGTGGCGTGATAGTTGGTATAATCACACATTTGATCATGGTATTTACATATACTCTCAATTTAGTCATTCTTTTAAATAAATTTATACATAAAATATATATTTTTAAATGAAAATAAAAATAAATATTTTTAAATTAAGTTAATAACTAAATATATTTAACAAGTTAATATAAAAATTATTTTTAAGTTAATATATATAAAATAT